TTGGCCCTGAACTCACCAGAAGCAGTGGAGGTAGTTGTTTCCGAATGGTTATGGCTTCCTGAGTTCCATTACACGCACATGCACACGCACACACACACACGCACATACACGCACATGCACACATACACGCACACGCACATGCACACACACACTCACACACACACACACTCTCACACAAACACACATGCACACACAAACACACACACACACGTACACACACGCACACACACACACACATAGACACATGCACACATACACACGCACGCACATACACACACACACACATGTCGCAGAACACACCGGTAGAGAAAATACACCTGTTATTGAAAACCTTCTGAAATTTCACCAGCTCCATTGTGGGAACATTTGATCCACTCACCAGAGATACAATGATCCAGGAAAGAAGGGATAGATGGCTAAAGGCATGCACTGACGTTTTGTAAAACCTTTTTTTGCCAGAAAGCAGTCTACAGGTAGCAGTCTAACAGGACTACTTGACCTCAGTGGGATGCATTCCTTGAGTCTTCAATATGGCGTTGTTTCAATGTGGTGCTGTTTTGCAGTATTTCTAGGAAAGTCATGGGCTATAACAAGGTGTTTTGATGAGAATGAAAGTTTTTGCCGATCGAACAGGTAACAGCCTGACATGACTACCTGGCATCATTGTGATATGCTCACAGGGACATCAATGTGGTGTTGCATTACAGCATTTTGTAGGAAAGCCATGGGCTAGAACAAGGTGTTGTGATGAGAATGGAAGAGAAAAGGAAAGTTGTTGCGGATCGATGGGGACAGTGGAATAATTATAGGTGTGCTGTACGTACACCAGTCAAACTGACTGTGGCGACTGTAGATACAATCACTCACTTACCTGGGTGAGCCACAATAAACATTGTTCGGATAGTCTCCCGACTAACTCAGTCCAAGCATCCATGTCTTCTTGACTAATGTGCACACCAACTATGCAATCCAAGATGCCGTCCTATGACGGAAATTCAAAAAAGGGCCGAGAAGTCGTATTCAGGATACATATCTGTTATGATGGATATAAATCCAGTCAAGGGCGAGGTGGGATAGAGTTGGGTCTGTAGGGGGTCAATTGGAGGGATGGTGGAATTATTGCACAGTCTTCATGGCCTGAGGGAGGGGGTGGGGGGGGGGGGGGGGGAGGAGATTCTGTTTCCCTTACTACTATGTATGTAGTGATTTGTTGCGTCGTCTTCTGCATATGTCATGTTCTGTTCCAGTAACATTTTTGTTCCTTCTTTTTCAACTATTGTGTTCTGGTACCCACCATCCAAAATATGGCATGACCCTGCCCAATTTCAGGTCCCCTACCAAACCTGTGTGGATCTCTATGCTAGGTCAAGCAGCATGGGAATTACAAGTTCACTGCACCTGTATGGCCGGTACGCATTTGTCAGCAGACTTGTCGCAAGCTTGTACAAATAGTGACATACACTGGGCATAGAAAGTAAAACACACACACACACACACACACACACACACACACACATGCACATGCACAGAAACATAATTATACAAACATACACACACATGTGTGCGGGAGCGCGCAAGCACACACACACGCCAACACACACTCACACACACACACGCCACACACACGCGCACACACACACACACGCCTAAAAACACACGTGGATACACGCATACACACACGCGCGCACACAAACATACACACACATGTGTGCGAGCGAGTGCGCACACACACACATAAACATACACACGCACACATGGACACACACACACATATGGACACACACACGTACACGCACGCACGCACACACACGCACACACACACACACACACACACATACATGACACTCAGAGACAGTGGTGATCCCACCCAGGGACAGCGGTCACCCCACCCAGGGACAGTGGTCATCCCACCCAGGGACAGCGGTCACCCCACCCAGGGACAGTGGTCATCTCACCTAGGGACAGTGGTCACCCCACCCAAGGACAGTGGTCACCCCACCCAGGGACAATGGTCACCCCACCCAAGGACAATGGTGATCTCACCGAGAGACAGTGATCATCTCACCCAGGTACAATGGTCATTCCGCCTAGGGAAATTGCTCCCAACCAGTGAAAACCCTGCTACCTTTTTAACTGGAAAATTGCTGTCTGTAACTTTCCACTGATATCTGCAAAAGAACAGCAAAGGCTCTGAAAACTAAAGTAACTATAAAAGCGCTCGTGTCTTACCTGCTGCTTTGTTGTCTTACGCAGTATGCAGGTGACTAGACACTTCACAACATGCAGTCTACCCTTCATTGCTGCAATGTCCAATGGAGTGTGGCCATTCTGGAACAGGGAACATGTTAAAAATAGACACCAAAAGATGGAACAGGATTCCATTGTAACAAGATAATATATTGTGTCATGTAAAATACACACCAGAAGTAGTCACTGATCAATTCTGGAGAAAAACGTTTCCGTCAAAACGAATCAGTGTCTGTTGGTTGTCGATTGGTTATGTTTCCACCAATAATAATTACTATCTTGTCTCCGACAAGAATAAACTACAGTTGTGAGACAAAGAGACACGGTTCGTGTGAGACTGGGCCAAACGGAGTTTTGCGCATGCGTACGAACGCTACTCCCCGCAAGGATTAAAGAGCAGAATATAATATGCAGCTCCTAATATAAGGCAGTAGGACGTATATGTAAGTAGATCAGACAGACCCACCACAAACTGGACAAAGACCAAAAATCCCATTCACTGTATCCATGTTTCCCATATGCACAGACCAACTGCCTGGAGGTTGCAGCAGGGCTGAAAAAATCTCTCGCCTTCCAAGCAGAATTTGAAATGGGTATCCTCTACTTCATATTCACGATCCTACATTTTGTAGACCATCCCACTATGCCTACCTGTCTGATACCAAGGCAGTGCCGAAATCGTAAATGTACAAAGTCAGTAGATGTAACCGCATGGATTGCAATACACTCAATTGCATGTGTTATTGTGTTGACTCATGGTGTACTAGCTGTGCTAGTACACCATGAGTCAACAATCCGAACTAGCGCACACACTGGTGTTGTGAAATGATGTGTTGTTTTCCTGTGTTATGGCATTCCCCAAACTGTCTCGTCTAGTCGCGTGCATGTGTGATATGAGCATGCGCAATTTTGTAGTCGAGAGTCCTTTTTGTCAGTCTTCTTGTTCGTCTCTGTCAGAGTAGTCTACCTTTCCGTAATGTCCAAATATATTATGTAAAACAAACCAGTCTTGTCCTTTGTGTCCTGCGTCCCGGGGAGCGGAATGGCTGAGATTCCGTAACACTGCACTGCATTGCTTTGTCCTGCATTCAAGACTGAATTCAAGACTGACGTCATGCGCTTTGTTTTGCTGCGTAATCACAAATGGCGCCAGCACGTTTTGCTGAAAAGAAAAGCAAATCTTGCTTGCCCTGTTGTGCTCTTCTAGACAACGGATCGTGCTTCAGCAGGGTTTCTTTTCCTTTCGTAGCTTTGCTGCCAACCCGAGTGTCACCTCGACACTGTATTTCTTCAGTATGTCTGACCTAACTGTCGACACTGTCAAGGCAATGCCTTGTTAAGCCATCTGCGGCGAGCTTTCTCAGCAAGGCTTGAATCCGAAAGCAAACTTAGTAAAAGTATTCAAAAGGACCGTTTGCTGGCGCAGCTAGCCCTTGGTAGTGAGGTCTGCTCCAGCCAGGAGAACCAGCAACATGACAGTGTGGACACGGCTCGCGAGCCCAGAAGCCCGACTGGCACCAATGCCTCCTCCGCCAGCTCAGGTGGCGCGGGCTCAACGGATCTCTGCGCTCTCATATGGGACGATGTGTAGTCGGCTTTGTCGGCCGCCATTACGGAGATTATCGTGCCGCTCCTCACACAAGGCCAAGGAAATGCGGCTGCTGCCCCCACTACGCCAGCCCAAGCTCCTGTAACCCACCCGATCAGCCACCTGCACCAGCTGTGCACAAGGCTGTGCGAGAACGTATCTTGCGAGAGGAGTTCGTAGATTTTTCAAGTTTGTTGTCTGAATTTCTTGCACACTTCCACACATCCGGCCCAACATTCCGGCTGGCGCACACCCCGAATAACGATAGCCAGATAAATATCGTTGAGTCGGATGACGCGAAGCAGGTGCGCCGCAACGTTCACAATACTATCATTATTATCTTTATTCTCACGGTGGCCGTAGCCAATAAGAGAGAGACAGTACTATGTGTTATCAATCAGTGTGGGTGCAATAAATCGGGAGAAACAGTGGCTAGTGGCAGCCGTGGTTTGGGTGCTTCATTTAAGTATAGACAATGAAGGAAATATATCCATTGTGAGGGCAGGTAGGCGATAGACCTTGATTAAAATACTATACCTAGGCTGGGCTGCAGCGGGGGTTGGAGCATGTGCAAATTGTTGATACTATGATCGGGGTAACTTCTCTTTTGAATGTATTTATTTCTTGGAGGGAGTAACAGTGTGGTGGCAGGTGGTTGTACTGAGTGCATGTGGAGAACAAGGGTGAACGTTGAAGGCGGGTGGAATGGGTGGTGGGGAGGACAAAGACTCGATGATGCCTCAGTTGTTGGCTTGGTGGCTCGGTGATGCAGCCTGAGGTCGCAAGCAGGATGTGTGGCGGGGATCGTTTGAAAGCGATGGTGTGTGCAAAGAGTAGCTGCTTGAGCTTCCGGCGGGATGAGAGGGTTGGCCAAGTGACGTGGTGGAGTAACGAACTGTGGTGGCAAGGACTGAAGAGGGGGAGTCGGAGGCAGAGTTTTGCTGACCGCCGTTAGAGACGTTCGAGGGCATCTTGTTGCTGGACATTCATAGCTGACATAGCCAGGGAACCATATTCGATAACGGGGCGTATATACGTGGTGTACAGTGCTGACAGGGCGTCGGGTGAAAGACCTCCACGAATACGTCTCAAGAGGTGGAGAGTGCGCGCAACTTTGCTCTCAATGTGCTGGATGTGGGCATTCCACTTCAGGTCGGCCTGAATGATGATACCTAGGTGTCGCTGGCTCTGGACTCTGTTCAGTGTTTTGCCTTTCAACGTTATTTTCAGGGTAATATAGCTACCCGGGTCGAGGCATGAACCATATACTTGTCTGTTATCACGGCTGCTGCCCCACCCCGCACTGCTGAACTGCTGAGCTGATTGCGTACCAGCAGTTAATCCTGCCTGCTAACCGCCAGTTCTTCCCAAGTGCGTGGCTAGAGTACGACCGCCAGCTGCGGATACTCATGGCCCAGTAACCAGGCACGAAGAGGTTGGACACCATCGACTTGAACCTATGGCAGATAGCTTTCACAGGCCATGCACACCCAAAATGCGCTCAATGTAAGACGGCCCATCCAGGGGCGGTTTGTGGCCTTTTTGTCTGCAATCTTTTAAATACCCCAGCAGCATTTACCTCCTGTGGTCGCACCCATACCAGTGACGGGCGAAAAATCTGCCGCAACTTCAATGGAGGTCGCTATTCTTAGTCGTCGTGCCGCTTCTCCCACACCTGCAGCCAGTGGGGCAAGGACTACCCATGCATCAGGTGCAACCAGCAGCAGTGAGGAGCCAATCGGCTACCCTGTCGCTCCTAGCAAAATGGCTACTGAATCGCTTGACTCGGTACGCGAGCTTCCCCAGAAGGGACTCGAGTTGACGCTGGCCGATGCTGCGCTTGCTGATAGTAGCCATGAGTGGCGCACGGATCTCGGACACCTTGTCCTCTGGCAGCCCAGTTCCGTGGCGCTCGCAGTCTAGGAAAAGCTCGCGCTTGGCGTCCGCAAACGTGCTGCATCCGTAGCATGCGCTCTCTAGCTTGCTGCCAGCAACAGCAACGCGCAATGCGATCAGGCACTCGTCTTCACTGAACTCGTTCTATGCCGCCACGCCCTCGAATAACTCAAGGAAGGACTCTACCGTTTGCTTACCATCAAACGTAGGACTCATGATGGCTGGCTTCCTCGTGATGGCACTAATATTCAGGATGCTGCTGTCGTCGCTAGTGGGTCACAGAGTTAGAGGAGCAAATCACACAGTCCAGACCCTCTAGAGTCGTCAGCAGCATCCTGAATAGTAGTGCCATCGCGAGGAAGCCAGCCATCATGATGCCTAAGTTTGATGGTAAGCAAACGGTAGAGTCCTACCTTGAGTTATTCGAGGACATGGCGGCACGAAACGAGTTCGGTGAAGACGAGTGCCTGATCACATTGTGCGTTGCTGTTGCTGGGAGCAAGCTAGAGAGCGCATGCTGCGGATGCAGCACGTTTGCGGACACCAAGCGTGAGCTGCTAACTGCACATGGAAAGACCGCCGACAAGGCCTGGCAGGCGTTGGTGTCCATTGTGCAAAAGAGCGTTGAGAGTTTTTTACCAGTTTGTAGTGCGAACAACAAGAGAAACAGAGAAGCGGGCGAGTCATCAAACCGCAGTGGGACCAGCCAGGTGGACGAGAGTGGAGTGTTTGCGTCCATCGTACAGCAAGTGCTGCTGGAGTCTGTCGGTGCTAACATGAAAGCATTCATGATCGAGAAAAAGTGTTATACCAAGGACATGAAAGCGTTCGCCGAAAAGGTATGGCCTATCAAACCGCCCATGGTCGGAAGACGAAGACGACAAAACCAATCATGGATGACGAGCATCAATTCGCGTCGGCAGAGTGCCTGATTGTCGGGGTCGAGTTGTCGGGTCCAGCTATGTGCACTGCCCAGCCACCGGCCCTCAGTGTCAGCTGTGTCGAGATAGACCGCCTATGGATGATGGAAGAATTTCCCGAAGTTACCAAGACGTTACCCGACTTCCCGATTGATCGTTGCGGTACATTCTACCAGGTTGGATTGCTGTGGCGATCGAAGAAGCCCCCCCCCCCAGACAACCTCAAACAAGCGATGGCAGCGGCGCAAGCGCTACTGAAGCAGTTGGAGAGCAAAGGTCAGCGGACAGTGTATGACGAAGTCTTGATCAACGAGTATTTGGCGTTGGACGCCACCGAGAAAGAGCCACACCCAGAGAGTGCTGATTCCTACATGCCACATCACCAAGTATTCTGCCGCGATGCTACGACAACAAAGACACGAGTCGCCTTCAACGCGTCGGCTGCGTACACCGGAGCAGCATCGCTGAGCAACATGATCGATCCCGGTCCGTCACTGCCACCAGATCTCACTGGTATCCTGTTCAGGTTGCGTGGGTATCCGTCGGCGTGTCTTGCTGCGAAGTTGTTGTCATTTGTTGTAAATTGGGCTATTCACGAAGAAAAAAGGAGAACCGGAAAAATGCAGAATGCGCGAATGCCCTATGTTCAGGAAGAAATGCACCTGCAGATTTGCCGTGTACGAAGCTACATACCACCTTTGTCACGAGAGATACGTCGGCTCGACTGGGAGGCAAGTGCACACCCGGGCCCAAGAGCACAGAAATGCTGCAAAATCTCATGACAAGAAGTCTGCATTCGGTGTGCACTACGCTAGGGAACACCCGAACGCCACCCCAGAGATTATGTACGAGATTGCTCAGCTCACGGAGAGGGATGAACTGAGGCTCCGGATCCGTGAGGCATATGCCATTCGCGACAAGAAACCAACTATCAACAGAAGAAAAGAAGATATGGGAACTGGATTCTTGGCATAGCTTGCCTACCACCATCCACTATCTGCCAACCCATCCAAAAATGATCGTAATAGAAGAAGAACACCCGCACCCGGTGCTCTCTCCCCCCCCCCCCCCCAACACACTACTACACTGCCAAAAAGCTTGCAAACGCACACACATACACACACACCTCTTTGTATATACTGCTGCTATTGCTGATATTATATATATCACTAGACGAATCACAACCTCCTGTTTTAGTCCCACCCACCACCTCAAAATATTCCTGCACCCCTTGCCTATAGCGCACACCTTCTGTCACATCTTCCTTCCACGCATACCAATACTCACTACCTTACTCTTTTTCGCACGCACACACACACACACACACACACACACACACACACACACACACACACACACACACACACACACACACACACCTCTTGCCAATTCTACTCACCACATACGCCAACACCTATTGCTGATCCACACCCTACCTAGACTCTCTCCCACATTTATCAACCCGACACTTCCATTACACCACTCCACCTTCTACGCACACCAACACCTTCTACCAACCTACACTTCTACCCGAAGGGTGTACCCCCTTCCCACCTGTATCGACCTGCACCTAACCTTCACCATTAACTTAGATACATGTATTTCCCACCTTCACCTTCTCATCTCATCTCACCACCATCACTCCCTATTAACCCGTGCCATAACCCAGAGCCCTCCATTCTTTATCCACTGACGATGTTGTTCAGAACAACGAAACGTCTGGAGAAGTATCGTAAATATTTCTATCGTTATTAAATTTTATCAAATATACCACTCTTTGGTCTAGAAAGTATACATTTTTGATATTACAATGAGAGTGAATAATCAACGGCTTGTCCACCAACTCTTTGACGTTGTTACGTTACTTTATTTTCCTTCGCACTAGAAGTTTGATTTTCTTGAGTTTAAGTGCACGCACGGTGTATTTTATTTTTTGTGTTTAGTTTAGTTGACGTCATCAGGTACTAATTTGGCTACCCGGACTGTACGAACTGTACTCAGTCGGGATCGAGTATCGATCTGGCTACATTTTAGGTGCATGCGTTTTCCGTATTTGATGCATGCAGTACGCTGGCGTCGTATGCGCTGGTTGTAGGTGCACTTGTATGTGCACGCTCTGATGAGGACAGGGTTTTCGCATCCGCTTGTGCTTTGATAGCCCGTTTACCTGCGTTTCTATCTAGTTCTTCTTTTCTCTTGCTTCAACACAGTCATGTAATTTCTTTCGTTTCCTTTTCAATCCTGTAATTAAATACTGGTCGGTCTCAGTTCCTGGAACTTTCGAGTGTAAGATACAAACCAACTATATTCCATGTCACTATTACAATCATAGTTTACACCCTACACCCGAGAGACCTCTTTTGGGTAGTGGTGTATAACTGTGTGAAACATGAAGTTGCTACAATGGAGTCTGAACACCCTGAGGAAGGTGTATATACACTACCTATCACAATAACGGTCAAGCACATGTTTTCAACTTACATTATCGTAAAAGGTTTGGATCAGCAAAAATGAATGAATTCATCTCAAAGCTTCCCTTCACATTCAAGACTTAGTGTTCCTGTGGAGAATTGTGCAGTGGTTAAGACCATTGCAGCACAGGGTAGCAGTTTCACAACTAATTTTGGCTGTAAATGTTTCATGAGATGAAACTTACCTCGCCAGGTTGGTTTGGATTGGCTTTGCTGTCCAGTAGATGCCGCATACAGTCGATATGACCCCGCTCACTGGCACAGTGAAGTGGTGTCTTTCTCAGCTATAACACAAGTGAATGTTTAGCAAGTAGCCAACAAAGAACATGGTTCACTATTAGAGCTGATTGTACGCATTGAATGCCACATGTTTATCTGTGGAGGATATATTGATATGGAACAGGGCAAGTGGCAGCTTTGAGCCCTTTGATTCCAGAAGACTCCTAAAGTCCTCACCAAATGTGCTCTCCGACCAACCACATTCACAACACAAGCAACATGTTATTTCGAGTTATGACATAATTATAATGATTCTTCACATAACTGTTTTTGATGAAAGAGAGAGGGGTGTAATCGGGATCTGTTGTGACTTGATTTTTGGAATAACCATTTTAAAGCAATAAGAATTAAGCATTGAATACTTTTCCAGCAGTTTTCCAACATAGTCTAAGATATATTTATACAGTAATGTGCTCACTATTTTGTATTTTGCTGCTTCGTTGCCATAGTGATTATTCAGAACCAATCAGGTTTAGAAGAGCACAATGCTCCAGTGGTTTTTCTTCCCTAATAACATATTCGTGAACTTCATTCTTGTGTCACGTTACTCCTTCCTATAATAATACCAAGAGTATAACCCCCAAGAGGGTGCAACATTGCATATGGGGTCTCCGACGGCAAAACTCACATCACATGTCTCAGGTACGTTCGTACTACGTACAAAAGAAGGATAGCGTGCGAGCAATCGGAATGTCTGCAATGATCATGCTGGGGATTTGCATACCCGCAGTGAGTTTCTGTCGGAGAGTGCTTTTTTATTACTCCTCTGCTCGCTAAAACGAGCTGGAAACGTACAACTACGACACTACACCACGTGATGTGAGTTTTTGCCGTCGGTGTACCCCGTAGAAAGGGTATCAGGAGTTGTACACTCTTGGGGGCTTATATACTCTTGATTATACTCATAAAACTATAGTATTGTCCTATGAAAGTGTCTTAGGAAAGGACCGTTTATCCAGAGTAGCTAACACGTAATATACTGTCTTTTTGCTGCTTTCTCAGTAAATCTATCTGTCAAGTGACTGCTAAGAACTCGCAGGCGCGCAGGCTGGCCAGCAAGAAACTTGGAGGAACTGAGCTGTGAATGGAGCTGTAACCGACTAACAAGTTATCCCTATACCTGCAGGCATGCAGCGTGATGCATGTCACAATAGGCATACCACACCCATATAGCAAACAATATTTTTCTAAACTAATACTTCATGAGATACAAGTCACCGTATTAGGTTGGTTTGGATTGGCTTTGCTGTCCAGTAGATGCCGCATGCAGTCAATATGACCCCGCTCACTGGCATCGTGAAGTGGTGTCGTTCCCTCCTATAACACAAGTGAATGTTTAGCAAGCAGCCAACAAAGAACATGGCTCACTATGAGAGATGATAGTACACATTGTAGGCCACATGTTCGTCTGTGGAGGATACAATATGAAGCAGGGCAAGTGACAGCTTTGAGCCTGTTGATTCCAGAAAACTTCCTAAATCATCACCAAATGTGCTCTCCGACTAACTTCATTCACACAACCAGCAACATGACACTCAGAGTTAGGGCACATACTGATTTCTTCACATAACATTTTCAATAAATGAGAGAAGGGTCCAATCAGGAGCTGTTGTGATTTAATTTTCATGCCGAAGAAGTCATCAGACAATTGGCATAAAAAAATGGGGAATAATCATTGTGAAAAAAGCTCCTCGCCCGGCACATTTAGCACTTTTCCAGCAGTTTACCAACATAGTCTTTGATTTCTTCATACAGTTAGTTTTAAGGAAATGCATTAGCAGAGTATATTGAAATGGCTGTTCCATAACCTGCCTTATCTCCTTGATCTGGGTTAGCTCCAGCTTGCAGTAGATGCAGAACGCAGTCGGCCTTGTTCTCAATAGTGGCATAGTGAAGTGGCGTCCGCTTATCCTGTAGTACAGCAATAGGTACAGCAATAGGTGATAAACAAAAGAAAATTAAAGAAGATTTCTACTGACTTGCATCAGTCAGGGTAAAACTGGTATATCACTCTGATGGCGTGATTACTGCAGTTTATTTTACAAATCAGACAGAGAAGTTCTCAGTCACATGTACTTGTGTGCCCACAATACTGTCTGTACATGACATAGTCTCTACACTACCTATTACAATAATCGTAGAACAGAATGTTCATCAACTTAAATTATCGGAAAGGTTTGGGTTGGCTTTGCTGTCTAGTAGATGCCGCATACAGTTGATACAACCCTGGCCACTGACAAAGTGAAGTGGTGCCCTTCCCCACTATAACACAAGTGAATGTTCAGCAACTAACAAATAAAGAACATGGCTTCTTGTCACAATGTGTGTCCACTGATGTTGTGTACCATACACTCAAAGGTTCCAGGAACTGAGACCGGCCAGTATGTATTTACATGGCTTGAACGATTACAGAGGATATGCAAGATAGAAAAGGAGACGAAAGAAATTACATGACTGTGTTGAAGCAAGAGAGAAGAAGAACTAGATAGAAGCCCAGGTAAAAACTATCATCGCTCTTTTTGCACCATGGACACCAATGCCTGCCAGGCCTTGTCGGCGGTCTTTCCATGCGCAGTTAGCAGCTCGCGCTTGGCGTCCGCAAACGTGTTGCATCCGTAGCATGCGCTCTCTAGCTTGCTGCCAGCAACAGCCACGCGCAATCTGATAAGGTACTCGTCTTCACTGAACTCGTTCTGTGCCGCCACGTCCTCGAATAACTCAAGGTAGGACTCTACCGTTTGCTTACCATCAAATTTAGGCATTTTGATGGCTGGCTTCCTCGTGATGGCACTAAGTTACTATTCAGGATGCTGCTGTCGTCGCTAGAGAGTGGCAGAGCTAGAAGAGCAAATCACACAGTCCAGACCCTCTCGAGTCGTCAGCAGCATTCTGGATAGTAGTGCCATCAGGAGGAAGCCAGCCATCAAGATACCTAAGTTTGATGGTAAGCAAACGGTAGAGTCCTACCTTGAGTTATTCGAGGACATGGCGGCACAGAACGAGTTCAGTGAAGTCGAGTGCCTGATCCCATTGCGCGTTGCTGTTGCTGGCAGCAAGCTAGAGAGCGCATGCTGCGGAGGTAGCACGTTTGCGGACACCAAGCGTGAGCTTCTAACTGCATATGGAAAGACCGCCGACCAGGCCTGGCAGGCGTTGGTGTCCATGGTACAAAAGAGCAATGATAGGTTTTACCTGTTTGTAGTGCGAACAACAAGAGAAACAGAGAAGTGGGCGAAACTTGCAATGCCTGAGTCATCAAGCCGCAGTGGGACTAGCCAGGTGGACAAGAGTGGACTTTTTGCGTTCATAGTACAGCAAGTGCTGCTGGAGTCTGTCGGTGCTAACATGAAAGCATTTATGATCGAGAAAAAGTGTTTTACCAAGGAGATGAAAGCGTTCGCTGAAAAGGTATGGCCTATCAAACCGCCCATGGTCGGAAGACGAAGACGACGAAACCGATCATGGATGACGAGCATCAATTAGCGTCGGCAGAGTGCCTGATTGTCGGGGTCGAGTTGTCGGGTCCAGCTATGTGCGCTGCCCAGCCACCGGCCGTCAGTGTCAGCTGTGTTGAGATAGACCGCATATGGATGATGGAAGAATTTCCCGAAGTTACCAAGACGTTACTCGACTTCCCGATTGATTTTTGCGGTACATTCTACCAGGTTGGATTGCTGTGGCGATCGAAGAAGTTTCTTCATACAGTTAGTTTTAAGGAAATGCATTAGCAGAGTATATTGAAATGGCTGTTCCATAACCTGCCTTATCTCCTTGATCTGGGTTAGCTCCAGCTTGCAGTAGATGCAGAACGCAGTCGGCCTTGTTCTCAATAGTGGCATAGTGAAGTGGCGTCCGCTTATCCTGTAGTACAGCAATAGGTACAGCAATAGGTGATAAACAAAAGAAAATTAAAGAAGATTTCTACTGACTTGCATCAGTCAGGGTAAAACTGGTATATCACTCTGATGGCGTGATTACTGCAGTTTATTTTACAAATCAGACAGAGAAGTTCTCAGTCACATGTACTTGTGTGCCCACAATACTGTCTGTACATGACATAGTCTCTACACTACCTATTACAATAATCGTAGAACAGAATGTTCATCAACTTAAATTATCGGAAAGGTTTGGGTTGGCTTTGCTGTCTAGTAGATGCCGCATACAGTTGATACAACCCTGGCCACTGACAAAGTGAAGTGGTGCCCTTCCCCACTATAACACAAGTGAATGTTCAGCAACTAACAAATAAAGAACATGGCTTCTTGTCACAATGTGTGTCCACTGATGTTGTGTACCATACACTCAAAGGTTCCAGGAACTGAGACCGGCCAGTATGTATTTACATGGCTTGAACGATTACAGAGGATATGCAAGATAGAAAAGGAGACGAAAGAAATTACATGACTGTGTTGAAGCAAGAGAGAAGAAGAACTAGATAGAAGCCCAGGTAAAAACTATCATCGCTCTTTTTGCACCATGGACACCAATGCCTGCCAGGCCTTGTCGGCGGTCTTTCCATGCGCAGTTAGCAGCTCGCGCTTGGCGTCCGCAAACGTGTTGCATCCGTAGCATGCGCTCTCTAGCTTGCTGCCAGCAACAGCCACGCGCAATCTGATAAGGTACTCGTCTTCACTGAACTCGTTCTGTGCCGCCACGTCCTCGAATAACTCAAGGTAGGACTCTACCGTTTGCTTACCATCAAATTTAGGCATTTTGATGGCTGGCTTCCTCGTGATGGCACTAAGTTACTATTCAGGATGCTGCTGTCGTCGCTAGAGAGTGGCAGAGCTAGAAGAGCAAATCACACAGTCCAGACCCTCTCGAGTCGTCAGCAGCATTCTGGATAGTAGTGCCATCAGGAGGAAGCCAGCCATCAAGATACCTAAGTTTGATGGTAAGCAAACGGTAGAGTCCTACCTTGAGTTATTCGAGGACATGGCGGCACAGAACGAGTTCAGTGAAGTCGAGTGCCTGATCCCATTGCGCGTTGCTGTTGCTGGCAGCAAGCTAGAGAGCGCATGCTGCGGAGGTAGCACGTTTGCGGACACCAAGCGTGAGCTTCTAACTGCATATGGAAAGACCGCCGACCAGGCCTGGCAGGCGTTGGTGTCCATGGTACAAAAGAGCAATGATAGGTTTTACCTGTTTGTAGTGCGAACAACAAGAGAAACAGAGAAGTGGGCGAAACTTGCAATGCCTGAGTCATCAAGCCGCAGTGGGACTAGCCAGGTGGACAAGAGTGGACTTTTTGCGTTCATAGTACAGCAAGTGCTGCTGGAGTCTGTCGGTGCTAACATGAAAGCATTTATGATCGAGAAAAAGTGTTATACCAAGGAGATGAAAGCGTTCGCCGAAAAGGTATGGCCTATCAAACCGCCCATGGTCGGAAGACGAAGACGACGAAACCGATCATGGATGACGAGCATCAATTAGCGTCGGCAGAGTGCCTGATTGTCGGGGTCGAGTTGTCGGGTCCAGCTATGTGCGCTGCCCAGCCACCGGCCGTCAGTGTCAGCTGTGTTGAGATAGACCGCATATGGATGATGGAAGAATTTCCCGAAGTTACCAAGACGTTACTCGACTTCCCGATTGATTTTTGCGGTACATTCTACCAGGTTGGATTGCTGTGGCGATCGAAGAAGCGCCCCCCCCCCCCCCAGACAACCTCAACCAAGCGATGGCAGCGGCGCAAGCGCTACTGAAGCAGTTGGAGAGCAAAGGTCAGTGGACAGTGTATGATAAAGTCCTGATCAACGAGTATTTGGCATTGGACACCACCGAGAAAGAGCCACACCCAGAGAGTGCTGGTTACTACATGCCACATCACAAAGTATTCCACTGCGACGCTACGACAACAAAGACACGAGTCGTCTTCAACGCGTCGGCTGCGTACACCGAAGCAGCATCGCTGAGCAACATGGTCGATCCCGGTCCGTCACTGCTACCAGATCTCACCGGTATCCTGTTCAGGTTGCATGGATATCCGTCGGCGTGTCTTGCTGCGAAGTTGTTGTCATTTGTTGTCAACGAATTGAGGGTGCCGATTGAGAAGATTGTGAGTTGGACCGAAAGTCTCACAATGTGGCACTGAAGCCCCTTGGTGGGGAGAATGGTGTGTATGACCTTGTCATGGGAAATGTCTTCAGTGAATGTGTGTCAGATCTCGTCATGACTGTAAGTCCTACTTGATTCCCTGGCTAGGTGCTGCTATGCTAGGCTATGCCATGCTGGTTTGTTTGAATTATTTCTTCAGCATTGAATTTATTGATTTGTATTTGACTTGTCTTACCTGTGTCTACATAACTTGTTCTGCAGTATCCTTGATCAATGTGTTAGGCAAGTGCCCAGATGTCGTAGTATCCACGCTGGACTTTAGTCAGTAGACTGCTCTGCCGCACTGTTTGACGACGTAGTTACGTTCCTTTATTTTCCTTCCCACTAGTAGTTTGATTTTCTTGGGTTTAAGTGCATGCACGGTGTGTTTTATTTTTTGTGTTTAGTTTAGTTGACATCATGAGGTATGTAGTGATAGTGACTGTGTTGTTCTTACACCACCTAGCTGTCATATGTTGCATTCTGCACATCACTGCTGCATGTGTCGTTCACACACCTTCATGATGTGCTACATTCACACTGCTGTATGTTATAGTCTCTTGTCATTCCAGTAATCATTACATTCTGGCCAGCTCACTACACTGGCGCAGTGAACAGCTCAAGCAACTTGACGCTATGGCAAAGGGACGACCTCCGAAAGAATTTTCTCCTGGCTATGGTGGTGATACGGGCGCAGACTTCAATCTCTGGCTAGAAGATGTCGATGATTATATGAAGATCTGCCAAATGACGGACCCAGGAGACAAGAAGTGCCTTTTCTTGAATCTCGCCGGTCTCAATGTCAGGTGGATCGTCAAAGGTTTAGTCGTTCCCGTTCCAGACGATGCAACTGACGATAACCCGGGAGACACTTACAAAGCCCTCACTGAGTCACTTCGTTGCCATTTTCGACCGTCCATCAATGCGACGTCAGAGCGGCACAAGTTTCGTCAGATTAGGCAGCTGCCAGACGAATCGATTTCAACCTTCATGAGTCGGCTGAGAGAGAAAGTGGAACTGTGTAGTTTCGCATCGACAGATGTTGACACGGTAGTCAATACTCAAGTCCGCGACCAGTTAATTGCTGGATTGAGGTCGCAAGACTCGAGGCGCGAACTATTAAAGGAGCCTAAGCTGACTTTGGCCGTCAGGCGAAATAGCACGTCATAGTACATTCGAGATCAGCGGGAAGAAGATGACGACGTCCACTATTTTAGTATCTGTGCACACGAATCTGCTGTGTGTGTTACTCTGTGTGTCAGCTATGGCATCATCGCCTGTGGTTCCATGCCTAGCATGTACGTCTGAACCATCCTGCAAAGTTTGAATGATGTAGGTTGAGCGATCGCTCCGCGAAACATACTTTTTGAAATTCTCCTCATAGTATATCTTCCACCACTGAAATTTCGAATTTCTTCGAATTTTTTGCTGAGAGGGGTGGCTTGCAACCTCGATATGGCTTGTTCCAGGCATGCTTTGGAGCCATCGCCTGTTGAAACAGTGGCGGGAAGCTGCCCTGCAACTGTTCCAACAGGAAATTAAGCGATCCGAGAAAGCGTGAGTCCGCGAATCTCGGTTGAATATTGAGTATTTCAAGCCTTTTCACGACGAAGATGGAGTTCTTTTTGGAGATGGACGTCGCGGCAAAGGACATGGTCTCCGACTTCTGGCGTCTGGTGAAGACAGGGATCATTAGTCCAGTTAGGTCGGCAGCCTAACCGTCTGTAAGCTTGTGTTTGGATCCCGTTCTGCTCGATGTGGTAGATCACAAACAATTTGATATCGCACAAATTGATCTCAGCATCGTGCGTACGGTATTTTATATTCAGAAAATCCCAAAGTGTCTCTGTGTGGCCGTCCTATGCCACGAGAAACTCCAATCAGGCTCCTATGTCCTCTGCCTTCATGATTGAATGTCCACTTCGTTTGAACAACGAACACAACAATCGAGGACGGCTTTGCAATGAAAAATACAGCTATACTGGAGCTGAAAAAAAGAAGAAAAAAACGTGCTCAGGATGAGACTCGAGTACACGCATACTCTCCCAGCAGGTGAAACGCAAATTTTTGTGAAAAATGCGTGTCGACGACTGACCAGTAATTTCGCCTGACGGGACGCTCTCTCGAAGGCAGTTGCTATGGAAGCATCACTTTTGGACTCCAACTTGTACAACAGTGAACCAGGACCTAGTGTAGCAGCATGTGTGAAGCCAGAGACCACAGCGGCTGTGTCAGGCAGTGAACCCAAGCACCAGCTCAAGAGGAAAATGACGAAAGGTCCTGGCTGCAAGTACTGTGGTCGAATGCATGCCAATGGAAAGCAGTTCTGCCCAGCAGCACGTGTCCGTTGCAACAGCTGCAGGAAAGTTGGCCATTTCGAAGCGGTTTGTCTCTCACGCAAGCCTAACAAAGCCAATGCAGTAGATGCGGAGGAAGACAGTGATACTGCACAAGTGGTGTATGATTCTATTTTCGCGTGCAGCGATAAGGCAGCCAGAGGCCAGTTCACCATGACACTGATGGTGAATGGCAAGCCATGCGAGGGATTGCTTGACACCGGAGCAACACGCACCATTCTCACAGATGATGTGGTGCAGCCAACCCGCTCAAGTGACTGCATACTTCGAGCATACACCGGTGGCGAAGTGAAGACTCTTGGCATGGCGGACGTCGATATTGCTGTAGGAGACAACGCCATTCTCTGTGAATGTTTCGTTGTACCGGCTGGCAAGCGTTCTGTATTGTTTGGACAAGATGTCATCTCACAATTGGAACTGCTTGTGAATGCACACATGGCGGATACAGCGCGTCTTGTTGAAACTGCTCCAGTTTCTATCACTGTGGACAAGAGCGCTAGACCGGTAGCCCTACCAGCTCGTCGCCCTCCATTTAGCGCCAAAGCCGACATAGAAAAGGAGTTGGCACGCCTGGCTAAGGCTGACATCATTGAGCCCGTGAAGGAGGCATTGCCTTGGGTCTCGCCCGTTGTGCCTGTCCGTAAGTCTAACGGTACACTCCGGTTATGTGTGGATTATAGACAGCTGAATAAGTCCATCATTAGAGAACGCCATTCTCTCCCAACGGTAGACGAAATAACCAGCGAGTTAGCAGGAGCACAAGTATTCTCAGTGTTGGATGCCGAATCGGGATTCCACCAGCTGTTACTGGAGGAAGAATCACGATCGTTTACAACGTTTGCTTCACACTGTGGGTCGTATCGATTCAAGAGGCTGCCGTTTGGTATTTCATGCGCCCCCGAAATCTTTCAGCGAGTGGTGTCGGATATTCTAGTTGGCCTGCCGGGTGTTGTTGTCTACATAGATGACATATTGATTTTCGGAAGGAATCAAGTTGAGCATGATGCTCGCCTGGCGAGTGTCTTGGAACGCCTGAAGGCAGCAAACCTCAAGCTGAACTGGGCCAAGTGTCACATCGGCAAAGACCAGGTCAAGTACCTGGGCCACACGTTGACCAGAGATGGAGTTCAGCGGGACAGCAGCAAGCTAAGCGCTATCGCCGACATGGCCGCCCCAAAATCTGTAGCGGATGCACACCGCTTCTTGGGTATGGTCACGTACTTAGGAAAGTTTCTTCCTCGCCTGACTGAAGCCACAGAGCCGCTACGCCAGCTGATGAAGCGTGAACCATTCACTGTGAACGATGATCTTCTCAAAGCGTTCTCCACAGATAAGCAAGCTGTAGTCTCTTCATTGCAAACACTTGCATATTTCCAGCCGGATGTAAACGTACCGACAGCAATCAGCTCCGATGCCTCACCTTCTGGTCTGGGAGCTATTCTGTGGCAGCAAAGCAAGGCTGGACAATGGCTGCCCATTACATGCGCCAGCCGCACGCTCACGGACACAGAGTCCCGATATTCGCAGATGGAGCGCGAGATGCTCGGCATAGTGCTTGCACTGACCCGTTTTCGCCAGTATGTTCTGGGTCGTCATGTACAGGTGTACACTGATCACAAACCTCTCATACCGATTGTGCAGAAGGCATTTGACGATGTGCCGCCTCGATTGCAGCGCGGGTTAGTCGCGCTCATGCCATACGATTACTCCCTCAAGCATGTTCCAGGGAAGGAGCTCTTCTGTACTGATGCACTTTCCAGAGCCCCGGTAGCGTCTACTGATGCTTCTCCAGCCGAATCGCGTTCTCTCCATGAGTATGTTGGCCTAGTTTTGGAAGCCGCTCTAGTAGGCATTGCAGACATTCGTTGTGCTGCACAAGATGATCCAGTAGTGAGCAAAGTAATTCAACGCGTACCGTATGATTCGTGGCTTGACATTTTGCCACCGGAGCACCCCTACTATCTCGTCCGTGATCAGCTGACAGTGGTAGATGGCATCTTAATGTTCGGTGGCAGATTCGTTATTCCTGAAGGTTTACGAACAGCGATCATGACCTTAGCACACGAAGGACATCCTGGACAAGAGGCCTTCCAAGACACCCTGCGCCAGAGAGTCTGGTGGCCAGGAATGACTAAGGATGCAAGCACATACGTGGAACGCTGCTCTGAATGCTGGAGGAGACGTACCAATAATGCGCAAGAGCTCCAACCAACTGAGGTTGTTGGCGTCTGGAGAAAGCTGGCAGTGGACATCGTATCCATTGAGGGGTACTCGGTTCTCTCCATAGTCGATTATGGCTCCAGGTACCCTATTCTGAAGATAATGCGCTCGACAACCTCAGCTTCCGTCATCAATGAACTTGATGAGGTATTCTCTGCATTTGGTCTTCCCGAGACTTTAGTTTCGGACAACGGCCCTCAGTTTGTCTCTGGGGAGATGTCTTCATTTCTCAGCCGGCTTACAATTACACATGTACGATTCAGCCCAAGGTATGCCCGCTCGAATGGCATGGTGGAGCGTCTGCATCGAGTGTTAAGGGAGAGACTGTCTGCTCTTAACCCTTTAAGAGCCACAGGAAATTTTCAAAAATCTGCATTTTTTCATGTTCCTCGGATCATAGCTTCAGTTCTACTCACTCAATCCTCACAATCTAGGGCTTCCTGGAAAGGTATTCGCGAGAGGAAGAGAATGAGGTCGATCATGATAGCCAGCACACCGTCTATCCAGCGCTAGATCGCAGCGACAGTACGAAAAATGCCCCAAATGCGTCCAATTGCGTCCCGCTCCAGATATTTCATTCTACTCGATCGTGGAGTTCCAATTTTTTTGCTGTGTACCCTTGACAATATCAACAGTGAAACCCGTGCAAATTCGAGTAAACCAGCGTGACGAAAAGTCTCAAAAATCTCAATACTAAAGTTGCACTGCGCGCTTTTGAAATTGCCGCGATCGCGAGTGATTTATCTCGGGAACCGTTGCTCGCAGCGCTTCGCGGATTGTTTCTCCCGACAGGTGAGAGTTTTCTCTTCGCCCTGGATATTTCGATCGATGGATTTGAGCGAGATTAGACTGAGTTACGATCTTTTGAAGTTTTGCATTTGAATGCGTCGTTTACGACGCATTCAAGTATGGGGCGGCTCTTAAAGGGTTAAGCCACATCTCCCTTTCCAGAGGTGTCTTAACCAAGTGTTGTTTGACATTCGATGTTCGAGGCATAGAATGCTCGGTACATCACCAAGTGAAGCTTTGTTCTCTCGACCACTGCGTACAAGAGTCCCGGCACAACTCCACCCCACTGTTGTGAATCCCCAGCACCAGCTGAAAGCAAAAGCTGAAATGTCTGCACAACACGACTCCCGACGTGGCGTGAGAATGCTTTCTGAGCTTCGGCCCGGCACAAAAGTCACTGTGCAGGACGGGTACTGCGACAAGTCTCAGTCATGGACCGTGGTGAACCAGTTCGGCCGTCAGGTAGGAGTGACCGATGGCTCTCGCTACCTACTGAGAAATAGGCAGCATGTACGAGAGTTTGTTTCACCACATCGCCCGGACGATTCTCCACCCATGTCGTCAGCGAACCCGTCTTTCAGCCGTCATGAGGTGGACCTTCAGCGAGCGCCAGCACAGGCGGCTCCTCGGATCGGTCAGCCTTCAGTGCCAGAACCAGATAGAACCGGAACTGGACAGTCTGCTCGGATTGGTCAGTCTACAGTGCCAGGTGCTGTTTCGGCATGTCTACCGTCTGTGGATCTGCCTCCGGGCTCGCCATGCCACAACATGCCACTCTCTCAACCTTCATCTGCACGTGAAAGCCAGCCTGCTCCGAAGGAACACACTCCAGCTGCTTCCGGCAAGCGCTCATTCATCGATGGTGCAGTCACTCGCTCCGGACGGCATATCAAATTTACTGAGAAGGCACGGCTCTACGCAGACAGTTTATCCTAAAAGATTATTGCAACAATGCATCATACTCACTCTGAAAGTTCAACTTGACAACTTTTTGTGTTTTTTGAAGTTGAGTTCCTATCTTCCTCCATTGGGTGCTTTGAATATTCAAAACTTCATATTGTGTTCTCTCTTCTTCTTCTTTTTTTTAAATTCCTTCTATTGCTCTCCCCGGCTAGGCTTTTTTGTTTGGGAGAAGGAGTGATGTAGTGATAGTGACTGCGTTGTTCTTACACCACCTAGCTGCCATATGTTGCATTCTACACATCACTGCATGTGTCGTACTCACACCTTCATGATGTGCTACATTCACACTGCTGTATGTTATAGTCTCTTGTCATTCCAGTAATCAGTACATTCTGGCCAGCTCACTACAAGGTACTAATCTGGCTACCCGGACTGTATGAACTGTACTCAGTCGGGATCGAGTATCGATCTGGCTACATTTTCGGTGCATGCGTTTTCCGTATTTGATGCATGCAGTACGCTGCCGTCGTATGCGCTGGTTGTAGGTGCACTTGTACGTGCACGCTCTGATGAGGACAACGTTTTTGCATCCGCTTGTGCTTTGATAGCCAGTTTACCTTCGTTTCTATCCAGTTCTTCTTCTCTCTTGCTTCAACACAGTCATGTAATTTCTTTCGTCTCCTTTTCTATCTTGCATTATCCTCTGTAATCGTTCAAGCCATGTAAAAAAATACTTGTCAGTCTCAGTTCCTGGAACTTTTGAGTGTAAGATACAAACCAACTATTACATGTCACGATTACATAGTCTAGACACTATACCCGAGAGACCTCTTTTGGGTAGTGGTGTATAACTGTGTGAAAAATGAAGTTGCTACAGTGGAGTCTGAACACCCTGAGGAAGGTGTATATACACTACCTATCACAATAACGGTCAAGCACATGTTTTCAACTTACATTATCGTAAAAGGTTTGGATCAGCAAAAATGAATGAGTTCATCTCAAAGCTTCCCTTCACATCCAAGCCTTAGTGTTCCTGTGGAGAATTGTGCAGTGGTTAAGACCATTGCAGCACAAGGTAGCAGTTTCACAGCTAGTTTGGGCTGTAAATGCTTCATGAGATGCAACTTACCTTGTCAGGTTGGTTTGGATTGGCTTTGCTGTCCAGTAGATGCCGCATACAGTCGATATGACCCAGCTCACTGGCATAGTGAAGTGGTGTCTTTCCATACTATAACATAAGTATATGTTCAGCAAGTAGCCAACAAAGAACATGGCTCACTATGAGAGCTGATTGTACGCATTGAATGCCACATGTTCAACTATGGAGGATACATTGATATGAAACAGGGCAAGTGGCAGCTTTGAGCCTGTTGATTCCAGAAGGCTCCTAATGTGCTCTCCGACCAACCACATTCACAACACAAGCAACATGTCACTCCGAGTTATGACATAATTATAGTGATTCTTCACATAACTGTTTTTGATGAAAGAGAGAGGGGTGTAATCGGGATCTGTTGTGACTTGTTTTTGGAAGAGCCATTAAGCAATAAGCATTAAGCATTGAATACTTTTCCAGCAGTTTGCCATCATAGTCTAAGATATTTATACGGTAATGTGCTCACTATTTTGTATTTCGCTGCTTCGTTGCCATAGTGATTATTTAGAACCAATCAGGTTTAGAAGAGCACAATGCTCCGGTGGTTTTTCTTCCCTAATAACATATTCGTGAACTTCATTCTTGTGTCACGTTACTCCTTCCTATAATAATACCAAGAGTATAACCCCCAAGAGGGTGCAACACTGCATATGGGGTCTCCGACGGCAAAACTCACATCACATGTCTCAGGTACGTTCGTACTACGTACAAAAGAAGGATAGCGTGCGCGCAATCCGAATATCTGCCATGGTCATGCTGGGGATTTGCATACCCGCAGTGAGTTTCTGTCGGAGAGTGCTTTTTGTTACTCCGCAGCTCGCTAAAAACGGGCTGGAAATGTACAACTGCGACACTACACCACGTGATGTGAGTTTTCGCCGTCGGCGTACCCCACAGAAAGGGTATCAGAACTTGTACACTCTTGGGGGCTTATATACTCTTCATTATAGTCATAAAACTATAGTATTGTCCTATGAAAGTGTCTTAAAAAAGGACCGTTTATCCAGAGCAGCTAGCACGTCATATTCTGTCTTCGCTGCTTTCTGAGTAGATCTATCTGTCAAGTGGCTGTTAAGAAACTCGCAGGCTTGCAGGCTGGCCAGCAAGAAACTTGGAGGAACTGAGCTGTGAATGGAGCTGTAACCGACTAACAAGTTATCCCTATACGTCAGGCATGCAGTGTGATGCATGTCACAATAGGCATAACACACCCATAAACCAAACAATAATTATCACTCATAAAAAGGACACACTTCAGGCTCTTTACGAACATCTTGAAAGTTCGCAAAGAGCCTGAAGCGTGTCCTTTTTATGAGTATTAACGCATTTCTGTCTCAGAGGAAACTGTGTAATTGTCACTCCAAGCCTATAGGCATAACAGATGTCTCGCGCTCATGAGACCAACCCTGCTTACGAACTACACTGAATACTAAGGATTTATTCCCGTAGCTATGCAAAAGACGTACGTCTGGCACTAGCTAGGGTCCACACAGCTTTAAGTCCGTCTTTGTTTGTTGTGTCGTCGGGCATGTCTGGCGCTATCACTTAAGTGTCCCGTACCGTACCATCAAAGACAGCTGGCCATCTTATTCAAATAGGGCTTTCAACTGCAAAATCATAACGTGAAGCAACTTGGAAGAATGTGTATGTATGCGAAGTGTATCGTGTATTTGGGTAATGCATGCAAGCGATAGTGCTGGTTCGAATCCCATGTTTTGGTTAAATACAATTAGGAGAAATGAAAAAGAAGCGTCATTTCACGAAGGATTTATTGAGACGGATATCGGATCCACATTAAGTGTTCGTAGGAATTCCGCCTGCAGATCGGTCAGTAGATCCAGATCTGTCTCGCTAGAATGTCTCCAGAAGTTGGAGTTGTCAGTAGGGCAGATTTTTGCTTCCGTCGAGAGTTTAAGTCCCGATTCGATCTGGCGTCGAGGAGACCGATCTGTGGGTATCGATGTTCGAGGGCGAAAAAGAGTCAGGCCCGGACAAGACGCAATCTCTGGCAGATTATGTGACTCGCTCTCATTCTACCTGACATCCTCTACAGTTCTAACGCATACCTCTCCTCCCTAACATCAGCACAAAGACGGTTCCATCAGTTCGAATAACATGCATGATGAGCTAGGCAAAAACACATAGCGTAGGGCACTGAGCTTTCAAGCTCTCTCGTCATGTTCAGACACACATTCAGACACATATTCACACGCACATTCAGATACACGTGTGCGCCCAGGAACCATGCCGACCAAAATTAATATCTACTCGAAGTATCATAAAACTGGTTTCCTCACCTCATCAGTCACATTCGGATCCGCACCGGCATCGAGCAAATACTGTAAACACTTAGCGGAGCGTCGATCAACAGCTGCATGAAGAGCACTGCCGTGGTATTTTCTCTGCAGGTAAAATACCAAAAAGTGGAAATACAACATACAGAGCAGATACTGAAAGTGATGACATTAGAAGGCAATTCTAATGACTTTTGAATCGATGTGGGCCCCTAGTTGCCGGAGTGGTGGTTCTGTGCAGTACCGTAGTCTGTCATACTGGCCACTGGATATGATGCACACACCTGGTACTATTTTCCTTGTCATGAAGATTACACGTGATTCATTCAACACCCTACTTTAAGTACAATTTTAACAGTGAACACCTACAAATATTGCGGAAAAGTTGTATTCATCCTAACTGCAGCTAAATACGGAACCTGGTGGAAAAGACCTCATCCTCAATCAGGCGCTGCATTGTATGTGTTTTTGGTGTCCAGAAACCACCTTTTTTTGGGTAATCTTGAAAAAGAAAAGGTGTGTCCACTCAACCAACCACAGGCAGTTTACACAACAGTGGCTATGTCCTTATTTCGAAGTGAGAGAAAGAGAGAGTTGCTTTACTTTCAGCTCAATCTTCTCTCCTTCTTCAGTGGAGAGTAGCTGCAGAGATCGATATCTGGTCTGCTCCTGGACTGGCAGTGACGCTCAAGAAGTCTGCTTCGTCTAGAAACTTGAGTCAAGCACGCATGATGCACATTGAGTTGATGGACAAGCCAGAGAGCACATTGAGTTGATGGACAAGCCAGAGAGCACATTTGCAACCTTGCTACTTATTACATCACTCCCTTGAGGTTCACGGTAAACCGTATGTATACTCTCCGGCATCCAGACATCCTTAGGTGTGGCCTGGGCCCACCTGGCTGTAGGGCCCAACTGCGGCCGGTACAAAAGTCGTTTTCGAAGAATGCTCTGGTATTAAATGTTACATCGGCGCCATCGTTCAAGTCACACCATGCTAAGTTGTTGGTAACCACATAACAACAAGTAGACACGAAAATATTCCCACAGCACAAAATTGTCCAGGCACATCCGGAACCTCAAGAAATCAAACACCCAGTACGAAGTCCAATGGAGAGTAAAGTATGATGGCCCTGCGTACATCAACATCACCTAGTGATATCCCCTCTGCACTAGAGAAAAGTACATACTCAGTCAACACGATAAATCAACATCTAGTCTCAACCAGTGCTTGGAACTCATGTCCAAATGCTGGCATGAGAACAAATATTTCCTCAGCCTCGACAATGCCACATATCTGTCCCCACCTCGACAGCCTCCTGACTACACCAGCCACACACCCTGCACTGATATAACCGTGACTGCTAGGCTTGAAACTAACACAACCGACACAGGGCATGTATTATATACTTATTTGTTGCCCGTACAAGTGGCCATGCCATAGGTTTTTTGAAGGTTATCAGTGTTCTTCTAAACCATGGTCCATTACACTTACACTTATAGTACACTTACAATTGAATGAGGGATCCTGTAATGCCCGTGATGGTTCAGCATGTGCTTGTCAACAGTGCTTGCCAAGAACTTGACAACAGAAGTAGCATTGTGGAAACAGGCACTCTTCAGTAACAGTGCCTGCAAGAAAACAAAACACAGCACAGTAGAACACAGTGCACTAAAGTTAATAACAAACAACCGAGTAGAGAGCACTAACAACTAGTTGTTTCAGTGCTAACGACAAGAATACCTCGCCATGAAACAATTCAGCATGCCAACTAGCAAATGACAATAAATATAATGGAGTGCTGACTACTCACATCCCTTGGTGTGCAGGCTGTTTTCAGGGGGTTCGAATACTGTAAAGCGTGAAATTTTCGCGGCGTTTTTAGTTCGCGTTTTCAGAATCCGGACAGGTTTGCGAGGTTCTAATTTTGCGATTGCAGAATTGCATTCTTGCTAAACCTGTGGCATTCTTGCTAAACCTTTCATGGATCTCCTTTTCGCACGGGGTCTAAATTTCACGATTTCCACGCGGTCGCGAATTTCGCGATTTCCACGCGGTCGCGAATTTCGCAGAAATTAGACCATCGCAATAATTTCACGGTTTACAATAAGGAGAATGTTCGGATAAGGGTAAGGGAGCAGTCACACATAATCTAGACCATGCATATTCCCTCATGTCAATCCATGCATGCACTGACGCCGCAGAACCAGGCAGAAGGACGATCCAAACAGAGTAAAACTGGAGAAAGTTTTCGCTCCATTCTTGCATGGTTATACAGGGAATCATGAAATAACTCAAAGACTACAAATATAAAGGCAACGAGTTTGTAAGAGATTAAATCTAACATTTCACGAAGCGGAAATTAAAGACTAAAATGGCACATTTACTCAGTGTGTGAAAAAGAAAGAAGGCAGGAGAACACGTCACATTGTACTACTAATACACTCTTGAGGACTAGCACCATGTAACTGCAAAAACAACACATTCTCATTTTGTACACACAGCTCAAGAAACAGCTTACAAATGTACAATAATTCGAAAACACACACATACACACATGCACACGCAACCACACCCACACACATACACATGCACACACCTTGGACCTTGGACGCCCATCGCTAGTGCGGTGATAGCGCGCGAGCTGGGCAATATGAGAAGTGACGCTTCAAGTCACGCGCCCGGCGAAATGTTCCTCCCCACATGCACTGAAAACTCTTCGCTGACCCTGGCGGAGGGCGGCAAGACAACTTCCTCCACTCTCCCCTGTCTTGTGCCACATCATACCAGTCACTTTCCGGGATCCTCACCACGGCCAGGTTAGATCTAGCGACATCACGCCATATCTTCCTGGGGCCATGACTGGGACCCCTCGACGGAAGAACCCCGAAGAGGACCTGTTTTTGGGAGACAGCTGGAATCCATCCTGGCAATGTGACCAAGCCAGCGAAGACGATGGCACCGCAGAAGCTCACCGATGTCTGCTGGGAGTCTGACTCGCTTTGCAATCTCCTCGCTGGTGAGCCTGTCCTGCCATTGTGTCGAGCGGGATAGACCAAGGATGACACGACTGCACGCGTGATGGAAGACGTTCAGCCGCCGCAGGTGTGTCGCCTTCAGTGCCCAGGTCTCGGCACCGTGGAACAGAGCGGTGAGTACAATGGCCGTAAACATCACCCTCTTCGTACGAATAGATAGGGGCTTGTATTGGGAAATGGGCATCTGCAAGGAGCCAAAAACACGTGACGCTTTAGCCAGCTGCACTGCTACCTCACCATCCAGTGAACCGTTATCATCCAGAGAACCACCGAGGTAGGTAAAACTGGCCACCTGATCAATTTCATCACCAGACTCCAGATGTATGCCACACTGAGCAGAGTCATCACCCACGGCCATCACCTTCGTCTTGGAAGTGCTCACGGTCAAGTCCCAACGCGCAATGCAGCAAAGAAACTCCCTCGCCATGATGTGCACCTCACACCAAGACAGTGAGTAAAGCGGTGCATCATTTGCAACCTGCAACTCCGTTATCTCAGTCTCCAGCAGTTTCGATTTGGTTAACGGATCGCCAACAAGCTTCCGTCCGATGCGGTAGCGCAGAGTTACACCAGGCATAGTCGATCTGGAACGCCACGAGGCAACAACCGTGGCAAAGTAGATATTGAACAGAGTAGGTGCCAGGGTACAGCCCTGCCGGAGACCATTGGCCACAGAGATGGCATCTGTTAGCCCTCCAGCAACGCACACCCTGGCCTCCATGCCGTCGTGGGGACTCCGAATTAAGCTGAGCATATGCTGCAGCGCACCAGCTCTCCAAGACCAGCCACAACACATGATGGGGAAGTGAATCTTACGCCTTTCTGAGGACGACAAAAGGGACGTACAGCTGGGAGGTATGCTCAATGGACTTCTCCAAAAGCTGGCGAGCCACAAACATCATGTCGAAGCAATCACGGCCCTTCCGGAAACCACACTGCGACTCTGGCAAGATGTCTTGTGCCAGTTTCATCAGACGATCCCGGATGACTCGAGCAAACAACTTTCCAACAACGTCAAAAAGATTGATGCCGCACCAATTGTCATATCAATGGAGGTCTCCTTTCTTTGGAATCGTGACAATCTCCGCATCACGCCTGGTGCGTGTTTGTGGCATTGAAGCCGAGGCCTTTGGTCGGCGGAGCCCCTGGCACCTCACCATCACTGCTGCCCAGTGCAGCCCCTGCTCAGTAGCTGTTTGTTTTGTCCACATAATTATTTATTTTACGAGTTGGGTTTGTGAATAATAGTGAAAAAATTGAAAAAACGCCATTCAGGAGGCACCGAACCGCTCAACCACACCGCCTGAACAAGATAAGATATACACTGATACAAGCCTTTCCCGCCGTAGCGAAGGAACTCTGGAGCAATCCCAGACTCCCCCGCAGCTGTACCCATGTTAAGTCTCCGCATTGCACACATCACCTCGTCGAAATCTGGAGGGAGATCTAGACTCACACGTGACTCCTCAGTAGGTATACTCTGTAACACAGTGATATCAACATTACTAGCAATGGTGAACACCTGCGCAAAGTGGTGACTCCAGCAATCCCTGACACTGTCAGGGCTGGACGTTAAAACACCTTGATTGTAAACCGCTGATATGATAACCGGTTGTCTCCCAGAATGTACTCCCTGCAGTTCCTGATGGATTTCCAGTGCGTGGTACCATCCTTTTGCGCGTTCTCTGCGTTGGTAGCGACCTCCCCAATCCACCTCTCGGCTGACTGACTTTTGGGCAGCCCGGAATTCCCTTCGCTTTGAGGCACTATCGTTCGCAAGCATACGCTCATGTATCAACTGCTACTTCTCAATCAAGGGCTCCAAGATTGACTGGCTCTCCAGAAACCAGTCGGGCTGTCTGCGTTTGCCGTGGCCCAGCACCCTAGACGCAACACCTTGAATAGCAGTACATGCAGCGTCCCAGGCCTCCTTGACATTGCGATTCTCATCTATGTCAGGAGCATGTTCGCAGGCATTCTCCATCTCCTTACGAAACGACTCTCGGACGTCACCGCTCTGTAGCCCAAGCACGCGGCATAGGGCTTCCTCCGCTTGTTGGACTGTGTCTTAGGCAGGATAAAATCGAGTACAAGTCTGGTGCAAACCTAGAAATGATCCGTCCAACACACAGTGCTCCGTGCATGACACGTCCCAGCAACAACAATGCTGAACAGAGCACATCACGATGTAATCTATTAAATGTTTGTTTCGAGTTGCTGGGTGTACCCAAGTTTCACGTTTATGTTTCTTCTTCCTGAACCAAGTATTCATGATGGACAGATCATGTTCCTAAGGGTGTTCAGACTCCACTGTAGCCACTTCATGTTTCACACAGTTATACACCATTAGGCCACCCTTTGTTAATTCATTGTTTAACGTCCTTTTTTTATCGAAAAAGGTACGCGGGAGGGCAAAAAAACAAACAAAAGCCCATTCCAAAAACTGGAAACCCCAATCAAACATTTTGACCAGTAAAGCATGTGATATATACAATATTTCTGGGACTAACGGCACTTGCAGGCATAGAACAACACTCTTTGATGGTACATTGGAGCACATGCCTGATGAATCCAACAAAACAGGTGCATAGCATGGAGTTAGCATGTCATGAATTCATTACATCTGGATTTTTACTAGGACACACACCGTACGATATTTATAAGCCAACAAAAAAAGAAAAAGAACAGAAGACAAAGGCATGCCCGGGAGGCAAGATTATAAGTTTAAGGTCATGATCGGCACACTGTGAAACTACACAATCATGTATTTACAACTTCGCATATTATTGGTACTACTACTTTCTTGTTTTTTTTTCCGGTCGGAGGCAAAAAGGTACGCGGGCGCGGACGTTAAACAACGAAAAAAGAAAGGGTGGCCTTACTCAAAAATCCAAATTTTATTATTTTGGACAGATCATGGATTGCACAAAACGACAGGAAGTTTTCCCCAGCCTCATTGCAGAATCCAAAGCCATACCGCCCACGCACACGACTCCAGCCATCACCGTCGCCACGCATGTCATCGAAACGAGCGACATCACCAAACATCAGGTCGCATGATGAACCAACACGAGCATTGAAATCCGCTAAGAGTAGGAGAATATTGCCAGAATCGACTGTGCTCATGACTGACTGTAGATCACTGAAGAAATGATCCTTGACTGCCGGTGTGGCCTGGCTTGTTGGAGCGTAGGCCATGACGACTGTCACGAAGAACCTTGACATTGCTACCCTGTCGTATCTTGTAGCCCTTCGCTCCGACTAGAATCCGTGCAGTTACAATGCGCGAACTGATAGCTTTCCATTCCTCGCCACTGCGCCGCCATAACTCGGTCGCCTTCGCATTCAACAATATTCCAATGCCTTCATTCCGTCGTCTAGGCTCACCTTCGCCGGGCAAGGCACGTCCAGAGTGGAGAAAAACGCCACCACCACTGACAGGCCAAACGTAGTTCCCAAAACCAGCATGTCTCCTGTACACCAGCCACATCGAAATCGAAATTGCGTAGTTCGTTTGAAAGAATATCGAGCTTCCTGTCGACAGGCCCGTCACCGACAGATGTACGTCCTCTACAAGTCTTAACGTCCTCACTATCCTCCACCAGAGAGCGAACATTCCACATCAGAGCAGCCAGAACGTTCCCTTTCCCGACACTCTTTCTTTTCGCCACCATTTCGAAAATTCAAATTCAAAATACCGCTCCACTCGTCTTGTACAGCGTGTTGTTCGAAATCCACCAGGCAACTTGTACGGCTACCTAGTGGGCCACCACAGCCATGGCCTGGTCTATACCACACGGCTGCTTAGGGCGGCTACAACATCCTGAAGAAGGAGCTCTCAAAAAGCAAACCTTCCTCTCCACACTCAGCATTACACCACGCACACACACACGCACGCACGCTCGCGCGCACGCAAGCACGCACGCGCGCGCGCACGCACGCACGCACTCACACACACACACCTGCCCAGTCCTGTAGAGCCACTATCACTAGGGTCAAGTGGGCTCCAGACGGGCAGCAAAAGGAGAAGAAGCACACCACCTGCTGGCACTGCAGATGCAAGACCAGTGGTAACCGACGAGAGCACATACATATATATGCGGGAACTTATCCCGTTTTCTTGCTGTTGGACGATTGCAGAGCATCAAACAGCAGTGACGATTGCGTCTCTAGATTGCAAATGTTACAATGAACATTGCAGCAACTTTGTGGGGTAGTAGCAATGGTGGCAGCAGCAGATGATGTGAT